GGAGAAGGCAACTAATTTATTCATTTTTGTTTTGATGGCTTGATGAAATACAAGTCAAGGTGGAGATTTTTTATGAGTGTCTTGTATTCTGATCTTAATAGGAAACTGATTTAAATTTTGTTTTCCTTAGAGATTTGAAAAAATATGGATGTCTTGAAATTTTATTTCAGGTCAAAGACAAATTAGAAATCCTATTTTATTAGGAGACAAAATATTTTGAGTTTATAAATAAATTATAGACCACATAGTTTCTTTTGAATTTTTATCCAAATTCGGAGGATTTTGACCCCTAATTTTGAGTATCCATGTTTGTGGTTCTATTCTCTAGGTTAGAGAATTTTGTCTAATTTTCCTTTATAGATAGTGAAAATTTGTCGCTGCGCTTCGCCCGTAGATGTAGGCTTTCGAGCCAATTCATCTAAATTTTTTTATTTTGTTCTGTTTATTTATTTGTGACTTTTGTTCATAACAATATTTTAATTTACATTTCTCCAACATTACAGATTGTTATTGATTTAAATTTTTTTATTTTTGGAAGGCAAATTAATGCTATTTTCATGTAAGGAAACAATATTATGGACAATGGATCCTAAAATAAATTCTTGAAGTTAAGATGAAATAAAAACTCTTTGATTCCAAATAAAGCTGCATGTATGCACTATAAATAGACATGGAACATATACAACCCTCCATACTACTACAAACAAAGCTTTCTCACAAGTCATCTACTGGTTACCTCTTTCCAAAAAGATGGCCAGAAGTCTCAAGTGTAGTCTCACTCTTTTCCTGGTTTTTCTGTTGTTTGGCTCTTCATTTGTCGAAGCTCGTCCACTAGATGTTTCTAAGCCTCCAAACAACATTGAGGAAGCAATGGAGGAAGTCTTGGAAGGTTCGAATTTTGAAGTTAGCAAAACTAAAGGCACAACAACTGCTCTAACCCTAGTGCAGATTAAGAAGGCTGGCCCGAGCCCTCCGGGACAGGGACATCATCAATTTTCACATGGACCACCTCCACGCCCTGGTCATGGAAATTGATTAGTTTTGTTATTTCTTATACTGCCATGCCCATTGATTCCATAGGTAGCTATAAGTTTATTGTGTCTCTCTCTGTCATGCCATGAAACTCGTACTTTTTCAGATATTAATGAAACGAGGCATTGTCTGATTATCTGTACTAGTTACCATATATTTATTTATCATCTCAAAAATCTAATTTGTTAAACTTGGCCTTCTGACATTGATACTTTTGTCTTAGGCAAGTGAAGTGACCTCCATGAAAAAAAAGACGTTAATAGAGTCATAGAAAATCTCGGAAGAGGCAAATTGTCAGCAAGTTAACTAGTTCATGATTGTCAGTAGTAAAAAATTTCGTTCTTTTTAAGAATACCAAAACGTTCTCTAGTTAAGTTCCCATAAAATTTTCTTATTTAATGGTAAACATGCAATAAGTTTGAGGAATAGAATAACATCGTTCACATAATCAACTTCCAATAACTTTTTTCTCATATTAATTTATACTTCCATGCATTGTACAGCAAACAAGCTTTCTCTAACCTCCTTCCAAAGAGAGCTGGAAGTCTCAAGCGCCTCACCCTTTTCACCATTTTTCACCCTTTCAACTGCTTATTTTTCTTGAACGAAGCTCGACAACTCAACTGCTGCTCAATCCCATAGCCCTGGGAAGGTGACTTGGGTTTTCTTGGAAGTTGTGGTTAAATTATGATTAATTTTTTGAGTTGGGCTTCTTGTTATGCCGATTTCTGAGGGGATATCAATGGAAACCACACAGTTTTACATATGAAAAAACATAGTTTTGTATATAAATGATATCGTTTTGAGGGACAATATCCTGCTGTATAACCGGGGATTCGGACTCGAAATTAACAAAGATGAAGAAAGATGAGAGCTGTTGTCGAGTTCTAGATAATGTTTTTTCTTATGTTGGAGCCCCACAATTTCTGGCACTTCCCAGGGATTTATTGCATAGAGAGACAGGGAAAAGGATTAAAGTTGTCTTTGTAATCACTTAGATCAACATCCATCTAATGTACAAGTGAATAGAACATGTTTCTGACTCATCTGAGGATTAAGTCACGCCTTACAATGCTATTGAAACATAATAGCATTGAAACAATTATGTTATTGAAACATAATTTGTTACTCTAATTCACTGTAACATTATTTATTGACATAATTTGTTGACTTACTTCATTAAAACCTTTAGATTAATTACAGACCCCCATCAAATATTAGAACTTGGTCTTAATCCAATGATTTCTATAAAGATACATCATTATATCAATAAATCAGGTCAAATTTTTATGTTGAAATAATATTACTCTTTCAAAAAAAGAGAAAGAAAACAAGAGACCTTTTTGCATGGGGCAAGTTGTTTGGGTTAGGAGGTTCCATTGTTAATTAGGCTTTGCCCAGGCCAATTTGGGTCCTCCTAGTATTCTCTGTCGCAGAAATATTTTCCAAACTAGAATCATCATAAGATCTCATGGCCAAGGTTCGTCCATAGATTATTACTTTCGCATCTTTGGTACCTAACTTTAATTTTTTTTAGGCAGAAACTTAAAAAATGTCTTATAAGAAAAAAAATGTGATTCTTACTTAAAGCATCCCGGAACAGTGTTGGGCTAATATCTGGACATTGGAGCAAAAAGCTGACCCATCCTCTAGACTTTCCAGGCCGAGCTGCCATGGCCACCTCTAACAGAGTGAGGATGAATACAAAAAACTTGCTATGCAATTGGGGTGGTATGGTTCAAAAATACAAAACAATTAACCTAACACAATCCATATCCAGATTCGGTATCACTTATCCTAAAACTAATGCCTAGTAGATCCTTCGATACCCAATGAAATTGGGGTCTAAAGGAAAATTTATAAATAAAACCATATTAATATTTAATATAATAATAATAATAATAATATTAAATATTAAATTGTATTCATTTGAAATATATATTTTTTGTTTTTCAATTCGAAATGAGTAAATAAAAATTAAGTTGTGACATTTTAATTTTTTTTTTCATATATCATTCTCGATAAACAATACAACTAAATCATTTATAGATTTCTATTTATGGGTCTTATTTATTAAACATAAAATTTTCTAATTGAGTTATATTCTTATGGGGTCTTTTTGTTAGGACTAAACACGTTATAAATGCAAAATTTTGATATGGAATATTAATACACTCATAAATTTGGGACCTTCAATCTGAGTGGGGGCCTAAGCCTAGAGCGTAGTAGTTGGGCTGCCCCTGCTTGGATAAGGTTGATGTTTTTATTTAAGTTACTTCTTGAATTGTGATCATAATACTTTAGTTATTGTCAATCTCCAAAACATCTTTGGTTGAATGTTCACATCTAATTCATTGTCTGAACTTTTTACATTCACTCCCAAAAATTAAACTTCCGATCATCTGCTATAGTCAGCCTCACGTCCCTATAATACCGTGTGATCGATTGTTGAGCTTCAGCTGTTAATAAAAAGAAGCATTGGTTGATAATCTGGCAAAGTGATTGGACATTTGCGATTGTCAACAACAATATCTAAAAGCTTTTGGTACTTTTAACCTTTTACTACCCTATCTAAAATAATTCTCAACCATTCATCTCGTTTTATGTTATTTATAATCATTAATTGCAAAAATTAAGAACACGGTGTATGTTAATTCATAATGTGTTTGTGCTTTGATACATAAGCAAATGATTATTGTTTTATATCTCTGTTACTATTGTGTCACTTAACTGTTCAAAGATCGATCGTTCTTACTTGACGCAGTGGCCATTTTTTACCTGATGTAATATAACAAGCCCAAATGTTTCACATGCGTTGGGTAGTCCATCTTCAAATGTTTGAAATTGAGAAATACGAGTTAAGGAGGCTAAAGAGTCTTCCGGTAGTGTAAACGTGCAGATTTTGTGGGATGTGAGGTATGTACAAGTAAATTATCCATAGAAATTGAAGAACACAGGAGGTTCAGTAGTTCATTAGTTGAAAAGTTTAACTAGTTCATTCTAATAGAATCTTTCGCTCTTAGGATATGTATTGCTTGGTAAGGAAGAAAACAGTTACAGCATTTTGACATGCAATTACTCATATCCCTTGGTACAAGGCAAGGGTTTGCCTATTTATATTAACTAATAGAATAGTCCTCAAGCAATCATGGGTTAGTACCCTTGTTTGTTAAGATGTAGGAAGAAATATATAGTCGTTAAAAGTTACATTTCCTTAATCATGACATGACATTCTAGAAGGTGGTGACATGATATTTACTCTTTGGGTAGGGTTTGATGTTGTGCTTTACTCTTTATAACTCTTCTTCTTGTGGATTAAATTGATTTAGACTAGTCAAGCTTGTTTGGAAATAATTGAACTGGTTTCAATTGTGACCGAGCTGGACTGTCTTGACCCCTTACTTGCGGGTCGATTGCTTGGTACCTAGAGCTAATGATCCCTCTGCTATGCTGCCAATCTGTCTTATATGACGATTTTAATCTTGGTATCATCAAATGACATTTACATTTAAAGGTATGATTGTGTGTATTGTCAAACATGCCCACTAGGTGACGGAACGTAGTTGGACTCCCCATTAATTTTAAAAAATTCAAGTTTCAATAGTAGTCGCTCTCACATAACATATTAACCTCTACAATTTTAGATTGAGGGTCTACCTTTTGTCTCTAAATTACCTGCTTCCCTTATTTGGATTGGGTACAATTAGGCCTGTTAAAATTCAACATGATATAATTAATCGAAACAAATTAAGTGGGTTTGGGTGAGACCTTAACGAATTCGGGTGATAAACGAATTGATATGATTAACACGTTTAATAAACAGGCCGTGTTCGGGTGAGATATGTCAATCCGTTTACGCGTTCAAATAAAATTAATATAATAATAAATTAATAATTATTTTTAAAAAATTAACCAAAAAAATTTTTTTAGTGACAACCACGTAGAAAATATATAAAATTATATTTCCCTAACCCTAATCTAATTTTTTCATCGTTGAACGGCTGAAGCCTTGTTGCGTCTCCACTCTTCTGCTCCTCTTTTTCTCTCTCCCTCTTGCTCGACAGCAACTCAGCAAGCTGCAAACAGTTGTTGTCTTGGACTCTTGGGCCAGGCTGAGTCGCTGACCACGAAGACTTCGAGCAAAGACATTTCAGATCTTAGACAAGTGAAAATAGGTACTAAATCTCTGTTATACCCTTGTGTTTGTTTTGTGTTTTTTATGTTTATGATGGCTGATCTGAAACGGGGTGTATTTTGTTTTGGTGGGTTTTTGTTTGTTTTGCCGGACTTGTTCTGTAGTAGTGTGTTTTGGGGGTTTTCACATAAAGTGTGTTTTGGAGGTTTTCACATAAAGCGATTTTTCTACCTCTTCTTGTTCTTGCGAGGGCCTCTTACTTGATAAAACTTTGTTTCTGAGAGAGAAATCCACTGTTTTATCTTTATCATTATTTTCTCTAGGCTTTTTATTTTCATTTTCCTTTCTTCCAAACACAATTTTCTAGGTATTTTTTAGTGGTTCTGGGTGTTGGGTTGAGGGGTTCAGTTTCCTTTCTTCCAAACACAATTTCTAACTCAATTTTTTGTTTTCTATTATGGTGTTGGGTGTTCGGGGTTGCTGAGAAAATACAAGGAAGATCAAGGGTGGGTGTTCTGGAGATTTGATCTATTCTGGTGTTGGTTGTTTTGGAGTTTTGATCTCTTTCACAAGATTTTGTGAATTATGGAATATGGCAATTTTATGAATCATAAAATTTGTGGTTGTTTGACATTGTAATTTGTAATATGATTGTTATTTGGTGTAATTGTGTTATTTCGGATTATATTTATGAATTGTAATATGCTTGTTGATAGAATTTGGTTATTTTGGATTGTAGTTTGTACTTTGTAATATGGTGTAATATCTCTAAATATCACATTTATTTGTGTTAGTTTGTTAGGTTTATAAAGTTATATAGCATTTTTAAATAAATGGATAAATGAGTCAAACAGGTGGTTTATCGTGGTAACCCGACCCGACCCTACCCAACCTGACTCGTTTAAAATTAGACATGTTAAACTAGTCGTATCGTGTTATCCATTTATTAAACGGTTTGTGTTAGATTTTTTACCCGTTTATTAAACGAGTTGTGTATAAGTTTACATGTTTTTTACCCGTCACCTGTTTAACCCGACACGTTTGACACCCTTAAATACAATTTCTCATGACATTAATGATTAAAGAATCTTTCAATTAGATTGAAATTTGTTGTGTGTCTTATTTCCAGTTCCAGTAAGAAATTGATTTAAACTTTGTTATCTTTAGAGATTTAGAATGGTGGATGCCTTAGAATTTCACTTCGAATAAAAGACCAATTAGAAATCCTATTATATTAGGAGATAAAGTATTTTGTGTCTATAAATAGATTATAGATCACTCAGTTTCTTTTGAACTAGATTTTGACCTCCAAATTTGGGCATCCATGATCCATGTTTGGCTGTATTCTCTAGGTTAGAGGATTTTGTGTAATATCCCTTTGTTAATAACAAAGCTTTGAAGCTACGCTTCACCCATGGATGTAGGCTTTCAAGCTGATTTACATAAATTTGTGTTCTGTATTTTTCTATTTTGTTTCATTTGATTTGTGTGTGGCCTTTGTTCATAATAAACTGATATCAGAGTTTCGGTTACGAGTTGGCTACAACAAAATTTTATGTAAAAAAATTTGGTGTTTAGAACAGTTTTACTCTATGGTGAACTCAGATATATATATCGTTGCTTTGACAGAATGATTTTACAAAAACTCTTAATCAAACATTATGATTGCCACTAATAGAGATTCACGAGATTTGTGGATGCTTATTAGTTGCCACTAATATTTGCTATTCTAGAGAAGACAATAGGTTTTATTCACTTTTGTTTTGGTGACTTGGTAGGCATACAAGTCAAGGTAGAGATTTATTATGGATGCTTATAATATTTGTATTCCTTCACGAGATTTGTGGAGAAGGCAACTATATCATTCGTTTTTGTTTTGATGGCCTGATGGAATACAAGTCAAGAATACAAGTCAAGGGGGAGATTTTTTATGAGTGTCTTGTATTCCAGTTCTAATAGAAAATTGATTTGAATTTTGTTCTCCTTAGGGATTTAGAAAGATGGATGTCTTGAAATTTAGATCAAAGACAAATTAGAAATCCTATTATATTAGGAGACAAAGTATTTTGAGTTTATAAATAAATTATAGACCACAAAGTTTCTTTTAAATTTTTCTCCAAATTCAGAGGATTTTGACCCTCAATTTTGAGTATCCATGTTTGGTTCTATTCTTTAGGTTAGAGAATTTTGTCTAATTTTCCTTTATAGATAGTGAACATTTGTCGCTGCGCTTCGGCCGTATATGTAGGCTTTCGAGCTAATTCATCTAAATTTTTTTATTTCGTTCTGTTTATTTATTTGTGACTTTTGTTCATAACAATATTTTAATTTACATTTCTCTAACATTACAAATTGTTATTGATTTATTAGAGTTTTTATTTTTGGAAGGCAAATTAATGCTATTTTCATGTAAGGAAACAATATTATGGACAATGCATCCTAAAATAAATTCTTGAAGTTAAGATTAAATAAAAACTCTTTGATTCCAAATACAGCTGCATGTATGCACTATAAATAGACATGAAACATATACAACCCTCCATAGTACTACAAACAAAGCTTTCTCACAAGTCATCTACTGGTTACCTCTTTCCAAAAAGATGGCCAGAAGTCTCGAGTGTACTCTCACCCTTTTCCTGGTTTTTCTGCTGTTTGGATCTTCATTTTTCGAAGCTCGTCCACTAGATGTTTCTAAGCCTCCAAACAACATTGAGGAAGCAATGGAGGAAGTCTTGAAAGGTTCGAATTTTGAAGTTAGCAAAACTAAAGGCACAACAACTGCTCGAACCCTAGTGCAGATTAAGGAGACTGGCCCGAGCCCTCCGGGACAGGGACATCATCAATCTCCACATGGACCACCTCCAAGCCCTGGTCATGGAAATTGATTAGTTTTGTTATTTCTTATACTGCCATGCCCATTGATTCCATAGGTAGCTATAAGTTTATTGTCTCTCTCTCTCTCATACCATGGAGCTCATACATTTTCAGATATTAATAAAACGAGGCATAAGTTGATTATCTGTACTAGTTACCATATATTTATTTATCATCTCAAAAATCTAGTTTGTTAAACTTGGCCTGACGTTGATACTTTTGTCTTAGGTGAGTGAAGTGACCTCCATGAAAAGAAAGACGCTAATAGAATCATAAAAAATCTCGAAAAAGGCAAATTATCAGAAAGTTTCTAACCGACTGGTTTATGACTGGCAGTAGTAAAAAATTTTGTTCTTCTTAAGAATACCAAAACATTCTCTAGTTAAGTTCCCATAAAGGTTTCTTATTTAATGGTAAACATGCAGAAAATTTGAAGAATAGAATAACATCGTTAACATAATCAACTTCCAATAAACTTTTTTCTCATTAATTTATACTTCCATACAATAAACAAGCTTTCTCTAACCTCCTTCCAAAGAGAGCCGGAAGTCTCAAGCGCCTCACCCTTTTCACCATTTTTCACCTTTTCAATTGCTCATTTTTCTTGAACGAAGCTCGACAACTCAATTGCTGCTCAATCTCATAGCTCCGTAAAGGATTCTATCAAGATGGTCTTAGGTGATTTGAATATGGAAGCTAGTAAAACTGAAGGCAAAATCACTGAGGGCTTGTTTGTTACAAGGGTTTGGGCGAGTCTATAGAGGAGGTTTAAAAAAATAGTTCAATCCATTGTCATAGTCCATGTTTGGATGCTCTTTTAAGACTTGAGATTTAAACAGACTCAGATTCTCTCAAACCCATGTATAAGGGTTTCATCAAAATCAGTCCAATCCTTCACCCAAATTCCATCCAAACATGCTATGAGGGAAAGGGATATGAATCTGCAAGTGCCCTTACCCTAGGGCAGATTATGGAAATCACCCAAGCCCTCGTGGCGCGGGACACCAAACTCCGCCACCCCTGCTTTTTGAAAATAGTTTTGTTGATTCTTACTAACATGCCCGTTGATCCCCATGGGCAGCAGTCAACTCATTTTGTGTTTGTAATACCATGGAATCTCTTGCTCAATTTCAGAGATTGATTAAAAGAAGCATCATTGATTATATCTCTTACATTTAACATTTATGTTAAATGATCAAAGGCCACAAATAAATAATAACGAAACGTCGCGGTTCGACTCAACAAGTATGTGTCCCCGAACAAAGCACAGCGACAAGATCTTATTATCAAATGTTAGAGGTTATAAAATTCTTGAAACCAAAAGAAGGAGAGAACTTCCACCTGCTTTATTCTAATAAGACAATATTTATTGAATTAATAAAATAGAGCAAGACCCAATTTTTTTGAAGAGAAGTCATCAACTTCGTCCTTGTTGAGAGCAACCTGTTGAACACCTCTCCTAATTTTCAAGTCTCTGGACAAACGGAAGAGAATTTCTTTTAAGGGTTGGCACCACTAAAGTCAAAATCCAAGCAAGTTCAACTAGGACATAAAAACCTATTGACCCATTCAACCCAAAAAACGTGTCCTGCACATTGCTAAACTATAATTGAGATAGTTTCTAACCCAAACATTTATACCACTGTCGTGATTAGTCCTCTGCTCTGACCCAATTCCATTGGAGGCTGGAAAAAGGACACTCTTTCAGAAAATTCCACCTGAATGATTATTCTCATGTGACTTAGGTTATTTTTTATGAAAGCTCGTTTTGAATTATTTTCTAAGTAAGGTTAGGCAGAACCGTTGTTGCCTGATGGGAACTTCTCCCATATTGCTATCAATGTCTTCATGTCGCACGACCTATCCCAATTAACTAATTGACGGGCTTGTTGCAAGAAAAAGTAGTCGAATGACTAGACGAAGAATGTTATGAGGTGCAGGTAGTGATGAAGAAAGTTGGCCAACAAACCGATCATTCCTTATCAAAGGCCCAGCAAAAGACGTAACTACGTACCTCGGCCTCGAGATGAACTCCGGTGTTGAGGACCGAAGATTGGAAATTCAACCAATCGAGCTTCGTTTGATCTTCCAGAAGCGGAAGTTGAATCAATTGCAGGTTATAATGTAGAATATGCACGAGATACAACCCTCCTATTCTCAATTGGCCGCATGAGAAATCCTCCATATAAAAAATTCAAATAGACTTGAAATACAAGTCATTAATAACAATTTATTTGTTTGCCATCCTTAAAAAACCATGACTTTTTAGATTTGGCCTTGGGACATTAGTACTTTTGTTTTGTGATATACTAATAACATGGCAAAGGTTTTGTGAAAATGGGGTAAGGGGATTGGTAGTTTTTAAGTTTTTTAGATTCGTCATAGCTAGAAGTTCATGTCTGTGGCAAATGTAAAGTAACATTATGGTTAATGAAGTGTACAATATTCGACAAATACACATGACCACCAATCTCCTTAAGCTTGTATCTTTCAATTAACAGTATAGATTCATGATGACTTTCGGCGTCACTAAACATCTTGTTTCTTTCTTGTAGTACTGAAAATTTATATATTAACAGGTTGGTCAATAAGAGATGAATATTCCACCCAGAAGACTTCCGCCATTAACCATTAGGCACCGGTCTATATAAAAGTAGCCTCAAAAAATAGGAGACAAGTGGCAATGTACGCTGCAACACCTTTTACAAAGTTTTCTATGATTTGTTCCCTTTGTCATTATTGATTTAAATATAGGAGAATTCCGATGCTTTTTTATTTGTCTTTACTCCATCTTGCCTACCATGTAAGACCACCACCAATCACTGGCCGTCCGGCCGTCTGACTTAACCCATTTTCACTGTATATCAAGTGCCACTAATATTATATAGAAAATGTTAAATAAATTTAAAATTTTGACATAATAAATCACTTTTATTGAACAAATAGGGGGTCCTAATAAATATTAAAACTCACAGTTAAATCAATAATAAATATAACAGTCACATTATCAATTCAAATTTTTAAATCAAATCACTCGTATTCTATTTCTATGGATGTCATCCTTATAAGTTCATTTTATAATGGTTTCAATATTGCTTGCGTGCATGCTGCTGCCTTCCTACAGGTTCCCCTATTTTATTGTCTTTTGAGTGCTTTCTTACGCAGGCAATGAGGCTATGAGACAATACTTCTGTATGGTTATTGCTCTTATTAGTTATATGACATTCAAATTTGGACTATACTTCCGGTAGGTTCCTTCCATTGCAGTTTGGTTGTAAAGAGGTCATATATAATGAAGGTCCCTTGTGGGTTCCTTTCGAAAGAACTCAGACATGGCGGCACCTAAAAAAGCCTATCAACCCACCCACGTGTTTGAATGGGGCACTTTCCCCCAAAAATCCAAAGTCAAATTATTCTAGCCTTTTGGTAAGTACCTTCTTGTCGCATATCCATGCACTATAAATACATATCAACATGACCTAACGTTGTACAACACAGAATTGAGCTTGGGCACCCGAGTCTCTACAGCACTAGTACTTTCAACTTTCAAGCATTTCTGACAACTTAACTACCATACAAATGGCCGGAACTCGAAACTCTCTCGCTGTCTTCCTTGTCCTCCTCTTCCTCCTCCTCAGTTCTTTGCTTTTCGACGGCGAAGCTCGTCCTCTCAACGCCCCCACGGTGGCTCATAGCTCTGTGGAGGAACCGATTATGAATATCTTGAATAGATTGAATGTTGAAGCAATTAAAACAGGAGGCCCAGGCGTTGGACAGGGACACAAGTTTACCAATGCTCAACCTGTGGGAGAAATTAAGAACTCTGGTCCTAGCCCTGGGGAAGGACACTAGATTAATGTTGACTCCCACAGGCAAATCATGGACCACTAATTTTTTAATTCTTATACCAAATTTGTTATTCTTTTATTTTGTTAATGGATGTATATCGGTTGTGGTGTAGGCTATAGAACCAAACATTAATCTTTTGTAGATCTACTCAATGTAGAGCATTAAGTTTAATCCGTACGTTCACAGCATTTTTTAATTTTTTTTTTTATTGGTTATGATTCATTTCTTATAAAACATTGAGATATATTTATTTGCTCTCCAGGAAACTTATCATTAACATTTTATCAAGTTCATCATAAGAAAGTCCGTATAGATCAATAATTATCATAACAAATACTCATTTTTTTAAAAATCGAGATCCCTATAATATTTTGTTTATTATTTTTTCTTTCTTTATAGATCATTCGCTATTAGGGTATCAATGGCCAACTTATGTGCAATGAGTCACACTTCAATTCGCGGAACAATGCTTGCTTATGTTACAGAAAGTCCTACAAGAAACTCTGAACTAATGTGTAGCTAGTCTCTCACTCAAGACTAGGGATGACAGTGGACCGAAACAAGAGCGAGGAGTGTAATCTTCATCTCTATACCTGTTTAAAAAAATTTCATCTATCATCGGTCTACCCCCGTTAATAGGTATAATTTTTATTTTCATCCCCGTCCACGAGTAAATTTGTAATCCACACCCCCGCCCCGTCCCCCGCCTTCACTTTCGCCCCCACCCCCCTCCACCTTACTCGTCCAAGCTCTAGCCAATATAATCTAACATTCTAAATAATGTAACATAATTATAGAATATCATAATATGATTAAAAGTTTGTCATTTATAATATAATATAATTAAAATTTTGACTACAACATAATCCAACATAATATAATTAAAATTAGTCTCTCTTTTAAATCTAACACAATATCATGCAACACAACATAATGTAACATAACATAATCTAACATGAAAAAATATAAAAACACGAAAATCTACACTTATATAAGACAAAACTATGAAAAAAAATCAAAAAACAAAATAATTTCTAAAAGAAAAAATTATTTAATAATATATAAAATTATATTCACAACAACATGTATATATGTACATATAAAATAATAATTATAATAACGGATAAAATAGAGAGAGGCGGGGCGGGATAAGCGTCGGTTCATCCATGTTTCCATCTCCGCATAGATTTATATAGATATTTTCGTATACGTCCACCGTTAAATACGTATTGCTCGAGATATGTTGACTGCCCTTTGAAATTGTCTCTAAACGTTCAAAGTAGCAAGCAATTCTACCGTGCAAGACTGGTCTGAAACTCATGATTAAACAATTTCGATAAATGTTGACAGTGTGCCCGTATTGCTCAAGATATGTTCTGTTTATACCCCTATTTAAGCTTATAGGTAGTTGGTGTCTGTCGTGTATGTTTAGCGTTTAGTTGGGTTTGCATCCATTGATTTATTATACGGATTTAGCACGTCTATTTGTTCATCTTTCGAAACCACTGAGACTAGACCTAAATTGAATAGTTTTGAGTTGATTGTGTCTTATTCACATATCGTGTCTGTGCTCACCGGAACTCTTCACAATGGGTTTTTCACCATTGTTGCTTATTCTATGTTTGCTCCTATCTTTGCCATTTTCATCTTCTTCACCACACAACAGTTTAACAAAAGGCTCATCCCTGTCCGTTGAAAAACCAGATGAAGATGTTTTGATTTCAGAAAACGGCATTTTCACTTCAGGTTTTCACCCTGTTGGGGATAATGCATATTGTTTTGCAATATGGTTCACTGAGCTATTGCACAATGGGTATAAAACCATAGTTTGGAAGGCCAACCGAGACAAACCGGTGAATGGCCGACGCTCAAAACTCTCCCTACTCAAAACCGGCAATCTTGTCTTGACAGACGCTGGTGAATTGTCTGTTTGGATGACCACCACCAATTCAAACTCTTCCAGGAAATTGAAGCTTCGTAACGATGGAAATCTCATTCTTCAGACTTTGGATGGTGTAATTCATTGGCAGAGCTTTGAGTCACCAACAGATACCCTTCTTCCTCAACAGCCACTCACCAAATACACAAGGCTTATTTCGTCTAGAAGCCAAACTAATTACTCCTCTGGTTTCTACCAGCTCTTTTTTGATGATGATAACATCCTTCGCCTTGTTTATAGTGGTCCTGAAATCTCTAGTGTTTTTTGGCCTAACCCTTGGGATAATAGCTGGCAAGCTGGAAGGTCCACTAACAATAACAGTAAGATTGCAATTCTCTATCCCTCAGGCCAATTCGTGTCATCCGACTCATTCGGGTTTTTATCATCAGATTTTGGTACAGGCCCTCTTAGAAGATTGACAATGGATGTTGATGGCAACCTTCGAGTTTATAGTCTAGATAAGAGTTACCAAAAAAAAAAGTCTAGATAAGAGAAGTTGGATAGTTTCTTGGCAAGCCATCACTCAACCCTGCAACATTCATGGCATTTGTGGAGCCAATAGTCTCTGCACTTATGCTCATGATTCCGGTAGAAGATGTTCTTGCGTACCGGGATACAAAATGGTAAATCATACAGACTGGTCTTACGGATGTGAACCAGATTTCAGTCTCCCTTGTGCCAGGGAGAAAAGTGGTTTTATTCAACTTCGTCATGTGGACTTTTATGGTTTTGATGAGGGCTATTATGAGAATTACACCGTAGAGCAGTGTGAGAAGGAATTCTTCAAGTTTTTGCCAATGCAAAGGGTTCCAATTCAAATTCGACAGTGGTAAAGGTTTCCATCTTTGTTACCCCAAGACTTGGTTGTTTAATGGATTTCGCGCACTGGATTTTATATCTACCATGTATCTAAGAGTACCTAAAACTGTCCTAGCAGCCCATTACAAGCCTGTTCAAAACCTCAGCTGGAATTGCTCGAGCCAATTTAGCACACAGCTGAGCAGAACCTACAAGAAAAAGCAGGGAAACGAGTCGCTGAAGTTCATGGTGTGGTTTGCTTGTGCCTCTGGAGGGTTTGAATTTATTGTCATCGTCTGTTTTCTGTACTATACTCGCCAACCCTCAGGTTCTGGTTACCTTCAGGTTGCAACTGGATTCAAAAGGTTCACCTATGCCGAGCTTAAGAAGGCGTCACGTAATTTCAGTGAAGAGATTGGTAGAGGTGGTGGCGGGGTTGTATATAAGGGTATATTGTCTGGCAATCGAGTCGCAGCAATCAAGGTTTTGAAAGAAGCAAACCAGGGAGAAGGAGAATTCCTAGCAGAAGTAAGCACCATTGGGAGGCTTAGCCACATGAACTTGATTGAGACATGGGGGTACTGTGCTGAGGGAAAGTACAGGCTTATGGTTTACAGGCACATGGATCATGGGTCATTGGCAGAAAATCTATATTCCAATAAACTTGATTGGGAGAAGAGGCTTGAAATTGCAATTGGTACAGCAAAAGGTCTGACTTATTTGCATGAAGAGTTGTTGGAATGGGTCTTACACTGTGATGTGGAACCTCAGAACATACGCTTGGACTCTAATTACAAGCTTAAGGTTGCAGACTTTGGCTTGTCAAAGCTACTGAGAAGAGGTGGCATTGACAATTCAAATTTCTAAAGGATAAGAGGGACTAGAGGTTACATGGCTCCTGAATGGATTTTCAACCTCCCAATAACCTCCAAAGTTGATGTTTATAGCTATGGGATTGTCGTGTTGGAGATGGTAACCGGAAGGAGCCCAGCAGGTGTCCATGCTAGAAATGACAACAGAGGGATGGAGCAGAGGAGGTTGATCACTTGGGTGAAGGAGAAGATGCAAGAAGCTGCTGGAAGTGCGTCATGGATTGAGGAAATTGTTGACCCTGGAATGGATGGCGAATATGAAATGAGCAGGATGGAGATTCTGGTTAAAGTTGCTTTGCAATGTTCAGAGGAAGACAAAGATGCAAGACCTACCATGAGCCAGGTGGTGGATATGCTGCTTCATCAAGAAAATGATGATTAAACATGACACTCCATTGTTGCAATGGCGGAGAAACCAACTGTGTCAATGCTGTAGATTTAAGAAATTACTTGTCGAGCTTTACCTTCTATCGTTGTTCCTTTTTAATAACCTTATTCAGTCCAACATTGTCATGTTTTCCAGAGTTTTTACCTTAATAGTGAACCTATAAGTTCGAATTTGTCTGCTTTCTTATGTTATGTGCCTTTCTGTTGGTCACAGAGTTTTCAAAATGGGATTGAGATATCAATTTGTGAGGAAATATTTTTGTAATGTTTTTACATAAGTTATAAAAATTTCAATTCAGCCCCATCAATTGAACGAAGCAGCCTCGTATCAGAACACTAACTATATTCTAATAGAGGAGCCTCTATGCCATGAAAATGACGGTCAGGACAGACAGCTCATCTGTACCAGGGAGAGACAATATTGCCACCCAAGGTAGTGAAGTTTTGGGATCTGTTAGAGTCCAACCTTTCTTGCATTTGATTCATGTGGAAGCAGAAAACTGTTAGAAAGGTCGGATCATGATATATGGAACTGCAAGATGAACAGAGTAGGATGCTGTAAAGGTCAACAGCGCCCGCGATAATATTCTTCAACACTTGAGTCAGTTATATGGGAATCTTAGGGACTAAGGAAGGCTAATGTTTTTGGAAGGCTATGGAACTGCTTTCATTCAAATAATTATCTTCCTCTGTTACATGTGCAATAAAACGAAACGTTTTTTCCTTCTGTAAACCAATTTCATAGTTAAAATTAGCTGAGTGTTTCCTTTTGTTGGGTGTTAGCAGAAGAGACAAGGGATCAAGTTTCGCCCTCACTAAGCGCTATATATCACTTTGATTCATTGAGTAACTGGCAAACCAAGTAACCTCAGAAAGGGGGAAAAACAGGGAGGGAGGTTGCACAGAAAGAGTTTAGAACATTAAAATTAGCCCTATTTTTACTTCTTTTTTTTATTCATAGCAATTTTTCCACTGACATTATGTGGCCAGAAATATTTTGTCTACCGTTAGGATCAGTGGACTTACGAGGAGCTGACCAAGCAAGTGTGATTCTGGTTGAAACAAGTCTCTTAGCAGATGATTAGAGATTCTCATGACATAGAAGCATCTCCACCACCTGCTTCATGGTTGGCCTTGCATCTCCGTCTTCCTCCACACATTGCAAAGCCACTCTAAGCAGAGTTTCCATCTTGCCAATGTCATACTCACCACCCATCCTAGGGTCTACTACATTTTGAATCCACGAGTTCATTGCAGCAGCTCCATGCATCATGTTCCTCACCCAAGTTACCACCCTTCCAGGCTCATTCTGTCCCTCATCATCAGCAGCATGCACACCAGTTGGACTCCTTCCAGATATCATCTCCAACACGACAATGCCATAGCTATAAACATCAACTTTAGAGGTGATAGGGAGATTGAAAACCCACTCAGGAGCCATGTAACCTCGGGTTCCCCTCATTTTCGAGAAGCTTGCATTGTAACCACCGCCTCTGTTCAGTACTTTGGACAGGCCAAAATCTGCCACCTTTGGGTGGTAAAGAGAATCCAAGAGTATGTTCTGAGGTTTTACATCACAATGTAGAACCCACTCCAAGCACTCTTCATGTAAATAGGCAAGGCCTTTTGCAGTACCCATAGCAATTTTGAATCTTCTCTCCCAACTAAGTGTTGAGTTCAGGTTTTCTGCTAAGGAACCATTCTCCATATACTCATACACCAAAAGCCTGTGCTTTCCCTCTGCACAATATCCCCACATCTCTATTAGATTCATGTGGTGAAGCCCTCCAATGCTGCTTACCTCTGCTAGAAATTCAGCTTCGCCTTTGTTAGCTTCACTGAGCCGCTTGATTGCTGCAATTCGATTATCAGACAATACCCCTTTATACACAACACCAGCACCTCCTCTTCCAATCTCTTCACTGAAACCTTGTGTTGCCTTTTTAAGCTCCGCATATGTGAATTTTATGTATGTGTTTGTAGCTAGAACATACCCTTGTGTGGCTGCACCAGAATCTTTCTGCGTCCTATACAGTAAACACCACACCAAGGCTATACAGAGAGTTTCTACGACTGCTACTGCACAGGCGAACCAAACCATGTAGTTCAGAAACTTGTTTTCATTGTTTCTTTGATAGGTTCTATCCAACTGTACAGTCCATTGGCCTGAGCAATTCAGGCTGATTTCTTTAACAGCCTCACTTGAGAAGAAAAATTGATTCCTGGAGACATTTAGTTTGACATACAGGGTCCCTAATAAATTTGGGGAATGTTTTCCATTAAGCAAGAACGTTTTAGCATAGCAGTTATAAGTACCATCTTCAAATTTTATCAGGAACCCCTTGCAAGTGGAGGATTGCAGACATAATGCTTTACAATTCTCTAAGGAGGAATTTCTGAAGACATTGTACTCGTAGCCAAATAATTCTACTTCACTCACTGAATCAAAAGTGGTCGAATGGTCTTCACCCGAAAAATCGAATTCCAATTCACATCCATCAAACCAGTCCCTGGGATTCTTGACCTTATATCCAGGCACACAAGAGCATCCCCTACCGGCTCCGGAACCATAGCTGCATATACCGTTTGGTCCACATACTCCATGAACCCGGCATGGATCAGACATGGCTTGCCATGTGACAGTCCAATTTCCTGTCATGTCGTTTAGGCTATATAACCGAAGGTTACCATCAAAATCAAGTGTTAATCTTCTCTGATAACCCAAACCGAAATCAGCAGAAGAGAACTCTAAGCTATCAGAGGATCTAAAGTATCCTGAAGAATCAAGTACCGCAATTTTACTGCTATTATAAGTAGTCCTGCCAGTTTCCCAACTTAAGAGCCACGGGTCCGGCCAGTAAATGCTGGAAACCTCAGGACCGTCATAGAGAAGACAAAGCATGTTATCGTTGTCAAAGAAGAGTTTATAGAAACCAGATGAATGGTTGGTATGGCTTCTTGATGAGATAAGGGTTGTGTATCTAGTGAGCTGCTGCTGAGGAAGAAGGGTATTTGTCGGAGAATCAAAGCTTTGCCAAAGAACTGTATCATCCTGGTAAGCACTAAGAACAAGGTTACCTATGTCATGAAGATGTAGTTGCTGAGCTGAATTGGTGCTTGTTGTCCAAATTGTGGTTCGACCTGCGTCGGATAAGATAAGATTGCCGTCTTTCAAAAGTGAAAGCTTTGAGCCTTGTCCATTCACCGGTTGATCACGGTTTGCCATCCAAACAACGGTAGGACCATATGATTTGGTGAACCATACGGCGAAGACAAAGGCATTCTCGCCAATTGGGTGAAACCCCGCTGTGAAAACACCGTTCGATGAAATCAAAACATCATTTGGTGTCTCCACAGAGAGAGACGAGCCTATTCTCAGAGTGCTTGGTGGTTTTGACGAAGAGGAAGCTAGAAGCAGAAAAAACACAAGGTAAAAAAGTAAGGCTTCCATGAGAATTACAGGATAGCTAATCAAATGTCCCTGGACTCTGTAAGAGATTTAAAGATCAAGGAAAGTATGTGTTTGCAAATATTAATTTAAGGTATATGAAGTCAATTTGAACGGTCAACGTGAAAGGCCTTTGATCGGTTGAACACAAACCTGTGGAGAAGCTCAAGCAATTTCAAACCCGTCAGAACAAGGAAGGTGTGAATGGCAAGAAGTGCAATGTGAGTGGCATCTTCCAGCGAGTTTCCTTGTGTTTGACTTGAAAGGTTTCTGGTGGGTATAAATCGGTGGCCCCATGAAATTACACGTGGCTTACATTAGATGAAAGCATCATCTCCCGTGAAAACTCAAACATTTATTAAAATTTAAGTAAAAATTAGGTTTGGTATAAAGCACTTTTAAAAAAAAATAAATTCAAATTTAAACAAGAACTAACCCAAATTTTAAAAACCTAAATTTAAAGGAGGATACTCAACTTACGTGCAAAAAGATAAATTTTGTGTAGAAGTATAGATAATTCTCTAAGTTTGCAAACCCAAAAGAGGAAAAATTCCCAGTTTTTGTCCAATTCAACATAGTTCGATAGATTTTAATAATCAATGCCATTCCCTAAAATTCCAAATCCATGGAGTTGGGACAAATGCATTGCATAAAAAGAGAACTTACTCTCAGAGACAAGAAAGCCGTCACTTTGTTCAAAGTGTGCGAAGACATAACCGAACAGAGAAGAATTACTGTCACTGAATGTAGGAGAGAGAAACACTGAACAAGGCAAAAACATATCAACAATGATGGGTTCCAGAATGGAGTGGCCAACGATTGAGAGAGTCATTGGCGCCTCCTGAGTTTTCTTCTTAATAGTTTTTCATGGTTTTAGACTTGGGCTGTCAAAATTCGACACGATACGATTTATCGACACAAATCGACACGAATTAAAAGGATTTGAATGAGATCTTAACGAATTTGGGTGATAAACAGGTTGACACGTCAAACACGTTTAATAAACGGGTCGTGTTTGGGTGAGATCTGTCAAACTATTTATCACACGTTTACCCGTTTAAATAAAATTAATAATTATTTTAAAAAATTAGCAAGAAAAAAGAAGTAAAGAAATCAATAAAAAAATAAAATAATAGTTTAAAGACAAAGGAGAAGAGTTAGAAATCACTTCAAAGACAAACTAATGTCTTTTGTTTTTATCTTACATTAGAAAATGAGAGAAGATGGGGATAATTAAGTTGCCTATAAAAGACAATGACCTCTTGCTTTTATTTTTAAAATCTTTAAGTCTTATTTTTCAAAGACAAAGGAGAGAAGTTGTTGAGCACTTGAAAGACAAAGATAAACCGATGTTTTTTGTTTTTGTCCCACTTTAAAAAATGAGGGGAGATGGGGAGGGTGAGTTGCCTATAAAAGACAATAGTCTCTTGCTTCTTTTTTTTTTAAAGCGTTCAAGTCTTATTTTTATGAGGTTTAATTTAAAATTCCTCTTTTTTGAGGTAAGTGCAATTAGTAATAAAAAAAATAGAATATTAAAATTTGTTGATATAATTTTTTTAAAATTAAACGAGTTAAACGAGTCGTGTTGTGTTACCTGTTTATTAAACGGGTCGTGTTCGTGTTGAGATTTTTTATCCTTTTATTAAACGCGTCGTATATGAATTTATACGTTTTTCACCCATCACCCGTTTAAGCCGACACGTAATTGTTTAACCCGACACGATTGACACCCCTAATTTAGACTTTTGAAAGGTTTATGGAGGCCCATGACAATTGGCGCTTAGGCTAATCAAACAAGCCCAATCTAGTCATAATCACCTTTACTCCAACAACCAGAGGCAAAAGCTTGGGCTGAAGCACCTAGGCAATTGGGCCACTTTGGGCTAAACCTACCACATGTATCTTCAAATGCGATATCAGAATAGACATTTCTTACTATGATGCGCTATTCTAATATGAAACAGCAACAAAATTAGTTGATAGGGATTTAGCTCCGAAAACTTTTAATTGCATTTAATTTGTTGATCTAATACATTATATGTATTGAACTATTATCGGGTCCTAACTAATAATGTAATTCACTATCAATTCACTAACAGAAAATAATTAAATCAATATATTAGGTTGAAATAACATTATTGATACTACATACCCAACCTATAGCCCATTAAGCCCGAGCCTTGAGCCCCCAAATTGAAAAAGAAAGTTGGGGTCTTAAAATAAAATTTTAAACAATGATATATAATTTAAATTTTGAGATATCTTTTAAATACTCAATATATTTTATTATTGAATTAACAATAAGTGCTAACTTTAAACAAAATTTGCTAATTATTCAATGTGTTTAATTCTTAGATTAAGTACGAGTAATATTATTTTAAAATTTATAGAACCTCTTTCCAAAAATTGTGAGATCTTAAAGTTCAACTTAATTTTTTTTAATCTCGCCTAATGTTTAAGTTAGAGCAGTACTATACTGTCTAAATCAGAACTCAAATCTTACATCTAAATACATACATGTACATCACACATTTCACATTGTAGATATCAAAGAATCAACATTTTCATTCAATGTATCGGACACATTCATTTAAAATAAAAAAATTTAATTTGGACAACGTAAAATTTCTCATCTAAATTAAGGCAGCACGAGTGGTACCTTGCCAAAAGCAGATTCAATAAATAAATAAATAAAAAAGTGCTTTTAAGTCCTGAAGTTTTTTCTGCACAAAGCAAGTTAGTACCCATCACTACAACCCAAAGCTTATCACTTTGTCAAACAAAAATATTCACATTCGGATACTGTACTCTTTTTATCTCCTGGTTTAAATATCTAAGCAAGCAGTGAATGTGTGGAAGACACGACAACTCCCACTGTTGTACATTTTCTACTCACCATGAAACTGTTTCTCACAACTTCAACTCTTCCCTCCCTCTGTCTCTCATCTGTACACTACCCAAAATTAATTTGGTATAAAAGTAGCAAAGATGGAAAATTTAAGGAAAAGAACAAGGTCATTTTTCCTTCTCTCTCCTCTCAACCTAATTCTTCATAATTGACTCATATTTTCATAAATTTCACTACTCGAGCTTAATTACCAAGGCCAATGCGCTTCACCACACCATTCCTTATACCTTCAGTCTACACTCTACATACACAACCCATTCTGTTCAATCCCAGACATGTAGTTCCTCACTTCTTTCTTTATCATCTCTTCCATAGAAGCCAAGAATTCAGGGCTAAAGAACTGTTTTTCAGAGGTTAATAACGGTGGCGGTGGCGCAACAAACTTTGACACAAAGCTAAGGTTTGGACTGCTCTCAGGCAGGGGTGGAAGAGAAGGTGCCGGAGCCACCTGGATAGCCGGTTTATGTGGCTGTATTTTAATCACCTGGGTCGGGTGAGTGACATAGTTCGAGCAAATTTTGGTAGATCCCTCAGTCGAGTCGGATCCCGGCAACGAGAGACTCAGATATATTGGCGGTTCGGAACCCGACGACGCCGTTTGAATCGGCTGAACAGGAGGAGCTATAACCCGGTCGGTTCTCGCAACAGGTCTATAGACATGCGTTAAAGGAAGACTCGAATCGCTCAAGTCGGATCCTGACGGGCTACTTGGGTTCAGATGCGAACCAGACCCAATGCTAGCCGATCTCTTCAAAGGCTGATGAAGAGTTTGACCGTCGATCAAAGAAAAATCTTCGGACATGGAAGAGCACTTTCGCTTAAGGGTAGAATTCCAGTGGTTCTTGATGGCGTTATCAGTCCGACCAGGGAGCAGTCGGGCTATGGTGGCCCATTTGTTGCCGAACTTTTCGTGGGCCCGGATGATCGCTTCGTCTTCTGCCGGTGTGAATGATCGGTGCTCCACCTGTGGCGAGAGCTGGTTGCACCATCTGAGCCTGCAAGACTTCCCGGATCTTCCTGGAATCGATTTACTGATCAGAGACCAATTTCTCGGGCCATGCGTATGTACCACCCCCTGCAACAGTTCATCTTCTTCTAGGCTCCATGGACCTTTGATCCGTTCTGTATCTTTCCTCTGTATCACCGTCGCCATTGTTTCAGACCCCTCCCCCAAAATGAATAACACCCCAATAAAGGAAAAAAAAAAAAAAAAGCCTACGAAATTTAGTGTTGGGTGCTTTGAACGTGATGATGGAGAGGCGTAACCCCACCCTTCCCTGAGAGGCAATACTGAGTAGTAGTGAGAGGAGAGCCATTTTATATGGGTGGGTGGGAGAAGAGGATAGGGATGACCGGCTGGGCAGGTAGGGGTGACCGGTTATTATAGAGAAGTAGCAGTTACGATTACATAGCTGGAAAAATGGACACGTGTCAGCTAATGGGAGTTGAGAATGGACACCTATATAAATCACACTTTTAAAATAGCAATGTTGTTTAAAATATCCCGTATTTCTACTTAGACAATTAACTTTGAACAAATTACACTTTATTTTTCCCTTCAACCATGACATTGTAATATTATCTCTTTAACTATATTTTTAATCACATTACACCATCACACTGCTAATCATTAAATTTAATAAAAAAATATTATAATTTTTTGACAAAGTATGTACGTTTTGCCTCTAAAAATTAATAATTTTTCTCAAAAAATAATGGACGTCTTTTTTCTGAAAGCGTGAATCCAAAAATCATAATCCACTAATTTGATGGGCAATGAATGTAAAATCGAGATTATGATTAAAGGGGTGAGAGTGTAATTAATCAAACTATAGAAAACTGAAATTCAAATCTCCGACCATTTTGGAAGTTAATATGGCTAGAGGGAACTAGAAGTGTACGGTTGGACTTTGACCAGGCCAGGCTGGAGAGCATATAATTAGATTTATAGCAAAATATAAAAAACATTGAATTATTTTTTTGATTTCTCCAGTAATTAATTATGCTTCTTTTTTTTTGTGTGTATGATTGACAAAAAACTTCTCACAATTAATAATCAGATGGAAACATTCTATCATTATAATTTAAGTCTATAGCATTCATTCACAATCTGTGAGGATAACTCGGGAGATAGAGTTTTAGTTGTTAATTAAATATCATTACAAATAATTTTATTAATTTAATATTTCGTTTGGTATGATAAAAAAATTAAAGAATAAAAAGTTAAAAAAATAAAAAATTTTGAGAGATTAATAAAATATCATGTAAGTAAGGAAAATAAAAATGATAAAAAAGTAGATAAATTATCTTTCCTTCCAACTTACCAAAATTAATCTCTATATTAATTTCATATATAAATACAATGATAAAATATATATTTTACACTTTTAAAAAAATAATTAAAATTTTAAATTTAAATTTTTAAAAAATTATTTTTTTCATCTTACCAACCATTAAAAAAATTAAACATTTTAATTTTCTATCCATCCTATTAAATATAAAGGAAAAAAATTATATCATTCTTATTTTTCTTTTTTAGAGAATAGAAATTGTATGTTGCCACAACTTCGATATTATATATTCAAGTTTAGATTGTGCGAAATAATATATTCTCAAAAATTCAAAGTCGAACCCTAAGGGGATTGTGAAAACAAGAAACAAATATCAAATCCAATAAAATAAAATTGTGTAAAAAATTCTCTTGAAAAAAGATTCCACTTATCAAACAACGATAAATTGATTAAAACAATAATTAGAATATTAAAATGTCGGAGATACCTTTTCAAATTCATACGACAACTATTAAAAATTTAATTTTCTAATCAATTGAGAATCAATTGAGAAGTGATCATAATCGAAATATTTAGCAATAAGGATATGAAAACACCAATAGTTATAACCAAAATTATTTTTGAATAAGCCCAAGAATTCATCTGCAAATCACAAACATTCACCGTACTCAGAGTTCTATATTGAATCAAACTTTTTAGCAAATTAATTCCAGAGCTATCCACATAATCCTCTGATTATCTTGTGAAAATTATGTTAATTAACTCAAGTGTGAAAAACTCAGTTATTATTGACTCGCAAAAAAATTCAAGTAATTCGATGTACATAATATAACGAATTAAGAACTTTTACAAAGTAAAAATTTAACTAAAAAACTATTGAATTAACAGAATAACACAAGCAGTTAAAATCTTGAATTAATAATAATATCTTATTTTATTAAAAGCTTTAGCCCGACATAATTACAAATACGGTAAAAAATAAAAAATAATCAACAACCCTAAAACTAGTAACTATCTTCCTATATATACATCGAGGGAAAAACAACTCTCACCAAGTTACAATGCC